AGGCCAAAGCTTTATCCTCAGGAGTTTCTCCTCGAAGTTTGAAAGCTAGGATGGGGTCCATCCAACTAGGCTCTGGGTCAGCGCAGCACACTTCAGGTGCTTCGTCGACACTTCTCTCTCGACGCACTTCTACATATACAGATCTGTTCAGCTCGGTAAAAGATGAACTAGCAAGTTTGGAGAGTGCATCGGCTTGAGTATTCTGACCCCTTGGGATCAGCTGAACCTCAAAAGTTTTCAGCTCTGCAATGACTGATTTGATCTTGGCAAGATAAGCTATCATGGAGGGCTCTTTGGCCTCGTAGCTGCCACTGATCTGATATGCAACTAGCTGAGAGTCTGTTTTTAAGCAGACATGATCGGCTTCCAAGGAGATGCACAATTTTAGGCCGGCGATTGCTGCCTCATACTCGGCTTCATTGTTCGAGGCCTTAAAAGAAAACTTTAGTGCATACTCAAAGGATTTGCCTTCGGGAGAAGTTATCACTACTCCTGCCCCCGAACCGTTTTCGGTGGAAGACCCATCCGTAAACACGGTCCAGACTTTCTTTTCACTGTCTAGCGCTTCTTGGTATGAGCATTCGGCCAAGAAATCCGCTAGAGCTTGAGCCTTAATGGCAGCCCTCGGACGGTAGCTGATGCTGAATTCGGTGAGCTCAAAAGCCCACTTGGCTAGCCTACCTGATTTTTCAACCTTGCCGAGAACTTTTTCCAACGGCTGATCAGTTAAGACCACTATCTGATGGCAATCAAAATAGGGCCTCAGCTTCCGAGCAGCTACTACTACCACGAAAGCAACTTTCTCGAGTAGAGGATAGCGAGTCTCGGCATCCGTCAGTGTATGACTGACGAAGTAGATCGGTTGCTGACTCTTACTCTCTTCCTTCAGCAATACTGCGCTGATGGTGGCTGGGCTAACGGCCACATATAGGTACAAAGTTTCTCCTTCAGCTGGGCTAGCCAGCGTTGGGAGTTGAGCCAGATGCTCGCGAAGCTGTTTAAAGGCGTCTTTTTGCTCTTCCTCCCAAACGAGCTCTTTTGTTTTCGGGAGTTTCAGGGCTTTGAAGAAAGGTAACCCCTTATCCGAAGCTCTGGAAATGAACCTCGAGAGGGCTGCCATTCTTCCGGTGAGCCGCTGAACATCCCGCTTCGTTTTCGGCTCAGGAAGGTCGAGCGCCGCTTTGACTTTAGAGGGATTGGCATCAATCCCCCTTTTGCTGACCATGAACCCCAGGAATTTCCCTGACTTCACGCCGAAGACACACTTCTTCGGATTCAGCTTCATTTGATGCTTTCTCAAGGTGGCGAAAGTTTCAGCCAGGTCCTTTACATGGTCCTCTAGTTTTTTGCTTTTGACGATCGAATCGTCAACATAGACTTCCATGTTTCGGCCCTTTTGATCGGCGAAAACTTGATCCACCAGCCTTTGATAGGTTGCCCCCGCATTTTTCAATTCGAAGGGCATCATTTTGTAATTGTACAGATCCTTGGGCCGAAGCACTTAGGCCTTTCGGCTTTTTTGTGCTTGGCTCTCTTTCTTTTTCTTTCTCCTCCTCATCCTTGTCATCATCTGGGCGACTACTGGATGGCTTGAGGTAGTTGCACCTTCGGGCGTCCTTTTGGTTGCCCTGTATCCTTTCGGGGAAGCCGGCGTCTGAGACGTAAATCATCAGCTGATGATAAGTTGAGACGACCCCTTGGATCTCGTGAATTATGGGTCTCCCCAAAATCACGTTGTACACTGAAGGAGCGTCCATGACCAAAAATTCAATCATGACGTTCCGGGCTGCCTCATCGCAACCGATGGTGACAGGAAGTGTCACCTTCCCATCTGGATAAGTTGAAGCCCCATTGAACCCGGATACCGGGTAGGGTACCGGCGTAAGGTGCTTGGGCTTCAGCTTAATTTGATTGTAGGCCTTTCGGAACAGAATGTTTGCTCCACCGCCACCGTCAACAAGGACCTTACTGACGTCGTGGTTGGCCACCGTGGCGATGATCACCAACGGATCCTCATGAGGGAATGTAATCCCCCGGCAGTCGGCGGCTGTGAACGTCATGTTCGGCACCGGCGACTGGGGAGATTGAATGTCAGCGTTGTTCACCTGGTGAGTCAAAGCTCTAAGGTGGCGCTTGTGCTCCCTCCGAGAGTATATTCCTCCCGAGATAACATTGATCGGAGGGAATTTCCCCTCCGGCTTTTTACTGTTTTTCCGGGGGAAATCGAGGTCCTGCCGAGGGTCCTTTGCTGACCTCTCGGATTCTTTTTTCTCACGGTGATCCGCGATGTATTTTTTCAAGTATCCCTTCCGGACCATGTCCTCTATTTGGTCCTTCAGTTGGATACACTCCTCAGTGTTGTGTCCCGAAGACTCGTGGAACTCGCACCACTGATTTTTATTTTTTCGCTGATACCACTCTGGGAGTGGTCTCGGCTTTCGGTAACTCTGCTCCTCCTTCGTCACGCTGTAAATTTTGGCGCGTGGAAGAGAGAGCGGAGTGTAGGACTCGTATCCGCCTGTGTATGAGGCTAATCTTTCCTTCTTTGGGTCGTTGGCCAAAGATTGCTCCGGGGCCTTTGACTTTCCCTTTGCCTTATGGCCTTGGCCTTCAGACAAGGGTATTTGCCTCTGTTTCCCTCCCCCGGATTGAGGTTGGGTTTTCGCTTTGTTCCATTCTTCGGCTCGGATGAACTTATCCGAAGCACTAAGAGCTTCCTCCAAGGTCTGCGGGGTATGCATGACCATGAAGTCTAGGAACTTTCCTGGCTGAAGGCCATTCTGCATTGCAAAAACGGCTAGCCCCTGGTCCAGCTGGGAGACGCTTGATGACTCGTTACTGAAACGGGTCAAGTAGTCTCGGAGGCTTTCGGTTTCCCCCTGTTGCAGACTCATGAGCTCTGCGGTAGTCTTCTCTCGGCGGTTTGCCGTGGAAAACTTGCTCCTGAACTTGGAGGACAGATCATCCCACCCTGTTACGGAGCCTTGCCTTACTCCCTTGGAGATCCACGCTTGCGCGACCCCCTTGAGAGTGGTTGGGAAATATTTGCACCAAGTCGCCTCGGATTTGGGGCAAAGATGCATATGAGTCTCATACGAGGCCACGTGATCCTTCGGATCCGTGGTCCCGTCATATGTGATGTGCGACGGTATTTTAACCGTGGGTACGCGCTCTTCCAGTATCCATTGCTCGAATGGTGAACTAGCGGGTAGCATAACGGCCTTGCCCTTGTTCCTGGCCGAAGGGACCGCGCTCCGCCCTCTTAGAGAGGTAGGAGTGGTTTTCGTCCCTGGCTGGGAAGTCTGGGCCTCGGCTGCAGGGAACGAGAGGCGACTACGCACGCTCGGTTCCTGGCCGCCGAGTCGGTCAAGGACGCTTCTGCGAACAGTCTCAGGTTCTCGGTGAGTAGATTCTGGCCGAGAAGCTGAGCTGCTGCTCTTATGCGCTTCTGGTCTTGAGGATGAGGATCCTTTTAAAAATTGAGGGTTCTTTTTCCTCTGTTTTTCATTTTTCCAAGAATCCTCCTCCCACTCTTCCAGTTCCCGGAAGGAAGGAAGCTTCCCACCATCATGGTCTAACTTCCTCCGCTGATGCCGGGTATGCGGAGGAGTTCGATCACGAGGTGGTGGCATATTTTGTGCCCTCATCGCCTCCATGAGTACTGCCAGCGCTCTTGCCACCTCTTCCGAGCTGGGCCCCGTTAAAGGGGTCCTCGGCCGAGTGTGGGAATGAGGGCGCGCAGCCGATGGTTGGCTTTGGGACACTGAATATGTCCTATGATCGGACTCACCCCTGCTAGACCGAGAGTGGCCCGGCCTATAATGAGAGTCATGAATTACGGGAGATAGGGAATCCTCCTTGTGTGATCCTCCCCTCGAGCCGGCACCCTTGGGAGAGTTCCGGTCCGGCGAGGGCGATGGTGTAGGGGTTTTAGGCTTTTCGCCCGCTCCTTGACGGAGGCTTTTGCTCTTGCGGTTTTTAGCCATTGCTGCTAAGATAATTGCAAGATGATCTTGGTTAGGAATTTGGCTTAAAGATTTTTGAAAGTCCTCCCCACAGACGGCGCCAAATTGTTTCGGGTGAAAACAATGGGACCTTGCCGAAGGTCCGCTGAAATGGAGAAGGCTGGATTCGGTCCAAGTTATGTTGGGCCGAAGGTTTCCTGCACAGTAAACACACGTAAACTAGCCTCGGGGGTGTTGCCGAGGAAGGCCCCTCCGATGCTAAAGTCAGTACAATGTGTAAGAAGAAGACACTATGCAAGAGAGTTTGTTGCTTGAGGCTTTTATGGAATATATCAGAATATATGAATGAACATATGAATCTATGAATGAATCAGAATGAATCTCTCCTTGAATCTATCAATATGATGGCTTTTATACCTCATTATACATGGAGAGGTTGGGCCTTAGCCCAATTGGCTTGCTTTGTGGGCTGACCTTTGACTTTAGCACAATTGGAGAGTTGAACCTTGACCTTGGGCTTTTAATTGGATCATTTAGTGCTTAGGCCCAATTGAACTAAATTGGACCCAAACAGAATTAATGTCAAGGATTTGTCAATTATGCAGCATTCATGGTTTATCTGAAGGATATTAAATGCGCTTGTGGTATCCCTGTTGCTAAGAGGACCTCGTAGACTCATGATAAAATTCTACACTTGTAAGTTTTACAACCATGGAACTGGTCAAAGGGGATGCAACACGTAAAGCGAGTTACCTGGGCTTTTGTATTATTCAATAATTGACCCTCAATTCCCTAGAAGATGACACAAATTTCTTCTTTCCTCTAACTTTAACCATGGCAGCAATGTAAAATAAATTTTTTTTTTTAAAAAAAAAAATAGTGAAGAAGCGAAAATAGGAGAAAGTTTGAACCTTTAAACTAAATTGCATAAATGAATTATTATTGTATTTGGGAACTCTTCGTTAATGGAAGTAGCATTAGTGGAGAAGAATTGCAGAGGGTATTGATGGTGAACAGTGATTTTTGTCTCCAAAATTGAATGAGAGAGAACCACAGGTTTTAATTAGAGTTAATTGGAGGGAAAAGGGGTGTATTAAAAATATAAGAGGTCACGTGACTTGCACACTCGTGGTCAACACCGGATAAAATAGAGTCAACGCCGGAAATTAGCATTAGCCATTAGGTTGTCTTTGACAAAAAAATTTATAATATGCTTAAAAAAAAATTTAAAAAATTATTTTAAATAAAGTAAATACTTTAGAAGATTGTTTCCGACAAATTTTTCCTCAAACAAATCCATACATTACAGCACCCAAAAAAAATTGGTTTTTGATTAGAAAAATTAGTTACGTGGGCAAATAAAGCACTCCTAATAAAGTAATAAACATAATTATAATTAAGTATTGAAAGTACTAGGTTCCAAGCATAAAGTTGTAAATATAGCATCCCAAGGATAAAGTTGTAAATATAGCATAGGTGAAGTTAAACTACCTTCCTCTGTTCATCTGTCCCCTACAACGGTCGATACTTGCATAAATTTTAATTTTAAATTAGCGCCGCACTAATTTTCAAATTAATTTTGACTCCCTAATCCTCCAAAATTTCCCCTCAATTTTCTCTTTCCCGTGACTCCCAATTTGCAATTTCCTATTTTTCATCCTTTATATAAATGCCACCCTCTTTTTTCTTCCATTTTATCAACTGAACCATAATTCCAAAAAATTAAAATGGGGAACTGTTCTTTAAAAAGTTCAGCAACAACATCTAACAAAGTAGTTCACACCACTATCCGAATAATGACGGATTCGGGTCGGGTTATCGAAATAGATGGTCCGAAACTAGCTCAAGAAGTTCTCGATGATTTCCCGGGTTACGGAATCTATCAAAAGGGTCACCTTACATTGCCATTATTCGAAGATGAACTTCTTATTAATGGTCAATTTTACTACCTACTTCCATTTGGGGTGTCTGGTAGTAAGAGTTTATCCGAAACGGTGTCGTCGAGTGTGTCTACGAGCTTCTGGAAGGATCAAAACGCTGCGTTTGAGGTTTTGCCTTCGAAAGGAAATGGTGTTTGGCGGGTAAAAATGGCGATTGATAGTAAAGAGTTGGAGGAAATGATGTCGGGGAATAACGCAGAAGCGTTGATTCAAATGATGAGATCGGCTGCGAAGTCGTCGGAGAAATCGCCGGAAAGGAGTTTAAGGCGGCGATCAATGGCTTTGATTGCGGCAGGGTTTAGAAGTCCGGTGACTCCCCGGAGGCTTACTGCTTGTTGATGCTCTGTTTTTTTTTAAAAAAAAAAGTTTAATTTTTATTTTATGTTATGGAGGTTTTGATTTTGTGGGTCATATTGGACTCACTTTAGAGATGGTGTGTAATAATTTACTAATTATGTACGAAGTAGTTCACATGCATGTTAATTGGACTCCAAGATGGCAAAACAAGAACCTTGTGACTTTGTGAGTTTTTTTTCTTTTCATAATTCATGTGATTAAATTTTGACTAAATGTATACTAGTTTAGTACACAAAGAGTCTGTTTGTTTCATCTAATTTTTAACTTATTCTATCTTAATTTTGATTAAATGTATACTTTGTATTAATTTTTAACTTATTGGCAAATGTAAAAGGCAAAAATTATTGCGTACACTTAATAAAAAACAAGGAAATATGTTAGTTACACGGTTTAATTTAAGTTTTTTTTTATCCAAACAAGCTGAACTTACATTATTTATCAACCACGAATAGCAAATAAACATACATCTCTACACAAAGAGAATGTTACATTTTATCATATTTATAGAGAAGTGAATAGTGTAACTCACTGCACGCTCATAAACAAACTAAACTTACATTAAATATCAACTATAAACAACAAACATACATTTCTTTATATGGATAACAGAAGGTTCCTTTCAGGAATAACTAGCCTTCTGGCCCGTGCAATACACAGGTTGTTTATAGGTATATAATATAAATTTTTAATTTATAATATGTTTATATTGGAAAATAAATAGTTTATGAAGGAGAAGAAGAGGTGTAAATTGAATGTAATTAAAGAAGATATTAAGTTTGGGAAAAGTGAACCAAACAACATTCATACATGTATTGAATTAAAGCTAGTTATTATTATTATTATTATTATTATTTATTTTATTTTTATATATATATATAAGAAAGGGGACCAAAAAAAAAAAAAAAAAAAAAAAAGGATTAAATGAGATGACATGTGACATTGGTGAAAAATGAAATTTACATGTGGCATTATGGGGATGATGGTTTGTGTTTTTAAGTATTAAGTATAGATAAGTATAGATAGATATAGATATAGATGCTTGTTAGAGTAATTTTTAGTTTATTTCCAGTTATTTTGAGGATGTTACGTTTTGTCATATTTATAGACAAGTGAATAGTGTAGCTCACGCTCACAAACAAACTAAACTTATATTAGTTATCAATTAGAAATAACAAACATACATCTCTAAAATTAAATGATTCAGTTGAGCACTAATACAATAATAGAACTTCTAGAGGATTGGGTATTCCATTGTTCGATCAAATACATATATAGGATTGTGTATGCCATTTATCTTTTTTTTTTGGGGGGGAATGGTAGAGCATACAACTGCTGTTATATATGTCTATAACGAAATATATATATAGGATTGTGTATGTCATTTTTTGGGGAATGGTAGAGTGCGCAACTGCTGCTATGTGTACTACAAAATACTATACATATATCGGATTGTGTATGCCATTTAACTTTTTCTTTTTTCTTTGGGGAATAGTAGAGTACGTAACTAATAATATTCTCTTCATTGGAACGATTTCAAAAGTACCAACAAGACTGTATTGACTTTTGGAATTTTTTATTTTTTTCTAACTAAAAGACAATCTATTTTTTTATACATATAAATTAATGCTTAAAGTTGTATATTGGCAAATGTAAAAGGCTAAATTTGTTGCACTCAATAACAATTAACAAACAGGAAAATATTTTTGTTGCACTCAAACTAAACTTTAAAAAAAAAAAAAAACAAACTGAAAACACAAACAAACTGAACTTTTCAAAAAAAAAACTGAAATTTTATTAGTTATATCAAACCAAATCAACAAACATACATCTCTACATATGTATACAAGAAAATTTGATGCAATACTGCAAATAACCAAGTACCCAAAAGCTAATAACTTTAAGTCTTAAGCATACAACTGAAAATTCTTCCTTTGTTTTCAGGGTTTCTAAACTCTACAACTTGAGTTGCACGAGTACATTAGAAACGAGAGATCAAGCATGCTTTATTTGTTGATTCTAATTTGTTAATTGAATTTATATATTGGTACTATTAACCAGCTTGTACCTTTTCCACCTAGTATACATTTCCCGGTTATATTTTATTCAAGATTAAAATATAAGCCGTGTGTGCGCGTGCGTGTAATTAGATTTTTTTAGCAATTACCATGACTTATTTTTAGTTTGGGGTCTTTTAAACTTGTTAAGTAGACAGTTGTGTTATCAGCCAACCATTCACCACCTTTGATATCCATCAAAGTCGGCATGTCTTTTTGAATATTGTCCAACACTGCCAAGTGTACCTAAACAAAAACATAACAGTAGAAAACTTAGATGAGTGTAGCATAATAAGCCATTAAGTATGAATTTCTGATTAGTATAATGAAGTATTTCTTATTCTGATTGAGTGCATACGTAGCTCCTATTCCAATCAGCTCTACGGGTGCAACAAAGAATACATGGTTGAATGTTGCATATGAATAGTTACTTGAGCTTTCACTGAGCAATATGTACCTAGAATCCAATGCAAAAATGTAAGGATCAAGTTTCCTCAACGTGACAATTAGCAAGTTAGGTGTAGTTAGGTTAGTTACCTCACTTCAATCAGTAGACTATGAAAGGGTGGAGAACAGCACGTTCTCTCAAAGGAGACCTCAACTTCATTCTCATTTTGCTATTTAATGCTAAAGGAGTCTCCTAAAATACTGCACAAGTTAAATTCTAGAGTGAGACTAACAATACTTCTTGAATGTAAATGCATTAATAGGGAAGAAATAAATAATATCGTTCTAGTAAAGGATAACCACCCTCTACATGATTCAAGTGCCACTTGAGCCGCACAAACATGTGTAGTCAAGCTCAATGACATGATCATGAAAATCATCAAAGAATACAAAAATCTAAATTGAGTACTTAAAAAAACACAGGAGTAATATTTATGAATTAATTTATAAATGATGTTTTAATAACAAAAACAAGTATGTGAATAAGAGAATATAAGGCATATCGTGACTTACTCTCTTCCATTTTCAGTATCGAGTAAATTACTCGATCCATGAAACTACACGCTGCTGATATAACCTTCTGGAAGTAAGAAGGTCACGGTTACGATAGAATTATCCAATATCACCTGCAAAATACGAAGATATATTTCAATCCCATAATGCCCATAAATATAAGTTAATGATGGTACAAACTTAAAAATAATACTCCTACATTTGATTTAGGATTAATTCCCCAATATAAACTTTCTTTCCCTCGATTTTACTTTGTCGAAATTAATATCTAAACATTGGGGTTTAATTTCTTTGTAATATAAATTGCCCGCTAGCAATTCTCCCAAAAACATGTAGGACTAACCTTTACTACTTACAATAGGGGTTATATTGGTGAAGATTGGGCCATAGCAAGACATCTCATCCACGAGCATGAAGCTCATGGCTTCAATATTGGGTTTAACATAATACTACATTCATTACATATTAATTGTAACTTGGAATTTTTTATGTCTCACAAAAAATACTCAATAGTTGCAACTAATTAATAAGTAAAAAATGTAATATTTTTAGGGGTTGTTTGGTTCGCACAAGGTAAACGGAATGGAATCAACAAAGGGAAAGGAGGAGAAAGGAAAGCTAATCCCTAATTTTTGTATTGTTGTTTGTTTTACATAAACAAAGGGAATCACATTTGCAACCACCACTACTCTCCTCCTTCTACAACCAGTCAACCACCACTACCCCTTAAATCTACCATTCACCTACCACCACCTCTGAATGCCGGCGACCACCTACCAGCACCTTAACCAACTGCTAACCAAGCCCTTTCCCTTCCCCTTACCGCAATCGGCCGCGACGGCCTTGCGCAAACCGCCGAAACCCGACCCCTAAACCCGCCCCCTTTTTCTTCTTCAATTCGAATTGGCTGGCTGGCTGCTCCAACTTGGGCTTTGATCCTCTGCTTGGCTACTTCAAACACCATCATCAATCTTCATAATTGAGTCTACAACTCAAAAAATTCATAGTAGCTGCTTCTTCTTCAAATCGGTTTTTCGGGTTAGAATTAGGGTTTAGGCTGGGTCGCCGGCGGTATTGGGGTAAGGGGAAAGTCGATCTGATGCTGACGGTGGGAGAGGGAGGGGCGGATTTTTCTTTTAAAGAAGGTGGGGCCGGGATCTCCGGAGATGGCGGAAAGTAGGGAAAGGGAGGGGGTGGGTCGACGCCGGAAGGGGAGGGAGGTGGGTTGGTTGGGGAACAGATTCGGTCGCCGACGGTGGGTGGAGAAGGCTAGTTGGTGGTTGGGCGGTGGTGTCGGTTGGCAGTTGGTGTTTCGAGGGTGGTCAAGGTAGTTAAAAGGTTGGTCAAGGTAGTTGGGTGAAGAGGAGTTCGGGGGTTATAGTGATTCCCTTGGGGGGGGGGGTGGGGAATGAAAATAGAAGAAAATGGGGTAATGGGAGGGGTAAAGGGAATGATTGAATTTTCCTATTAAACATCAACAAAGGGAATCATGACAGTTGATTTCCTTTCCCTTCGTTGAATACCCCCAATCAAACTGCCCTTTAAATTGTGTACACAAGCTAAGAGTTATAGATTGTCAAATTTATTGCTTAATGTTTTCATGATGATACATCCCACATCCACTAATTTACATGTATTGTTATTAAATGTCTTGATAATTTTTCACCAAAAAAATAATTAAATGTCTTGATAATTTACTAGCATTGTCAACTATTTTGACCATAATTGAGCAATGTTATTCATATAAAACTTTATAATTATAATAGTAGGTGTATAGTTTTATGTCCACGATTTAGATCTTTTGAATTGTGTCATATATATATATATATATATATAACCTTAAAATTGATTAAAAAATCTCATGACATGATGATTTTACAATATATTGTTTTTTTTAAAGGATATTACTAAGGGATATTGCTTATGTAGGATGTTGTTTTTATAGTATACAAAATCATATCTCATGATATAATATGATTTTATAGTATACTAGGTGTGAAGCCCGTGCGATGTACGACTTTGTTTTATATTATTTTATTATTATTATTTAAGATTTGTATCCTTTTACATAATAATAATAATCATAAACAGATAAAGTCATAATAAACAAAAAGACATTTATTAGTATTATCATTGAATAACTACTGGAATTAATTAAAAACTTTTTTTTTTTATTAATAAGATTAAAAAAAAAAAAAAAATTTGTCAGGTTCAAATAGAATTCTCTCTTGTACACCTCTATGTAGAGTAGTCTATTCTTTTTCTGTAGTTCTGGTATATGTATCTTGGGTCTCTTGTGAATGACGCTGACAGGATTATCCTATTCCCCTCTTCAGCCCTAATTATGTAGTGCGTAGAGTATGTCGTTTCTTTGTAATTCTTATACATGTTTCTTGTGCCTCCGGTGGACGATGGTGACAAGATTAATTTTTTTCCGTCTCCAACCTTAGTTGTATCTTTGTTTACGTTTGCGTCCCTGAAGGTATTGTAAATTTCACTTTGTGAAGCCATGAAGCTTGGGTC